TGAAAAGTTGTTTGTGTGTTTATGTTTTTTTCCGGCGGCGGTACACCAAGAATCAGATTGAAGATCTGAACCAACTTGTGAAGCTTCGAGGTAAGCTCAGAAATATTTAAAACATATTTGTCCACTGAAACTCACCCACGTGGAAGTAAACTGCATTCAAACCTATTAGATAGCAAAACCCGGGCTGAATGATCAATCGTTTTTCACCAGGGGTATAGAGTTATAATTTTAAGTACCAAAATTTCAAGAACGGGCTTCTTACTCACGGAAAATAGCCGCTATACATATATGTATTTGAATGATTTATTCTTCCATATTATTTGGCAGACAAGCTATTCTGATGAATGATAAGTGAGAAGAAGGAAAAAGTACACTCTAAGGGTACAAACTTCAATGCTAGTAGCACACGATGTGTTATTCTATCCTTTCTTTTTATAACTGGTGTGTAAAAAAAAACGCCTTTGTAATATTATGTTGAAACTTGACATGTATATTACCAGTGACTCTTTCGTGCAGATATTCCACGCACACAAATTACATTAGCTGGTTTTAGTTGGTCGTACTGCAATATTTCTAAACGCCGTTAACCGAACCTTAGTCTCGGCACGTACCGCCAAATAACAAGAACGGGATGTTTCCGTTATCCCAGACATTGTTGTCGATGTAGATCCCTGGGAAGCTAGTTTCTTTTTGACTTTATGTAGTCTACTCACGTGTAAGTCATCGTTTTCTCATGGAACACTGTGATTTGTTAGTGCAATTCATCAAGTTAAAATTACTAGATGTCCTCCTGCAGCTTCCAAAGTTCGATATTCCAACTATTTATACTTTAACAGGTCTAAGCCTAATTAGTGTGTATCTGTTTAACTATCTTGTATGCAAAGCATTTTATCTACACGAAAGCTATTTCAAAGCTGCTTTAATTCACATAAACCTACTGTAAAATATATATAGTTATTCGTAACTTCTGATCAAAGAAGGCTATCTACATAGATCAGAAATAAAAATTAACCCAGTAATTAATTAAGTTAATCTAATATACAGTTGAAGAATTTAATGTCATATGATAAGAACTTGTAATGATTCGAAAGTTTTGACTCATCACTTGAGTACCCTCGTTGTTATCGACATTTTCTAACTGAGCTACAAAAATTCATAATCAAAATCCGACTTTAATTCCACATTAATCAAAAATGGTAAACATAGTAGAGTAGCTCTAAGCTAGTTAACATAAACTTGTATTAAGAGAAATCAATTGTTGCTTTTTGTAAATAAAATTTATGGAAATTTAACTTCTTATTTCTTAATGGATTCGAAATATAGTTACATCAAAAGAAAGCTTGGCCTTTCTTCAGTCGGATTGCTCATTTCCAATTAGGTATCTCAAAGAATGAATTAGATATACCAAAAATATTGTGAACAACCCGGGCAAATGTGTTACATTTATAATTGGTTTACCTATTGTTGTAAGCTTTATTTTCAATGTTATAATTTAGTTATTTGCTAGAGGAAGCTGCTAATCATGAAGTGTATTAATCGAAAAGCTTCGTCTAATATCTAGAGGTAAGGGTACAATATAAATACAGAACTGGGTGATCGAGTAGTTGAGGATAGAGGGATGATTGATTTAGTTGTTGATCGAATAAAATTATTCAGAGTTAGTGCTTCTGCAAGCTAATAAATAAGTAGGTTTGTTATCAACCAAAGAAGATTATATTTAAACATTATTAGTGTGTGAGGCCTACAGTAGTTTCGGAGTTTATTTTGAAAAGATTTATATCTGAGAGTAGGCTTAAAAGTGAATATAGCTGTAGTAAAAGTTTGGTGAAGAAATAAACTTGTTCGTGATCGTTGTGTGACTGAACTTGGCAATATTTTTACCAAATATTTCAAAAGAACACATCCAACTGTAGAACAGTCGAGAAAAGGATCGCGAGCTTTAGCTGTATTAATGTTTTCTTCATTATTGTTTAACTTGAAATGAAACTGTATTACCCTAGCAACAGATATACTCAGTTTATCATTTTTGCATCCCTTAAAATGGGTGTGGGGAATTGTTCCAGCTCTAAAAGTTCTTAGAACACCTGATCCTTATCATCTTAGCGTTTACCCCATTTGAGTGTGGGATCCGCTTTGCGAATCCTCTGCTTCCATTTATTCCGATCCATCATGGCGTCTTCCTCTTCAACACCGTACGTTTCCATGTCCTCTCTAATGGTGTCAAGCCTTTTTTTTTCTTTTTTTTTGAGATTTGTTCTTAATTTATATTGATCTGACTACTTGATGTGTCCATAGAAATCTGAGATGGCTTCCTTGTGTCTTTTATGGTATGAGTCATGACTGTCACACTATGCTTTTTCGGATGTAGATGTTGCCGATTCGGTCATTCCTGGCAACTCTATGATCTAGACATTAAAAAAACTATATTAGAGGTAACGGTAAAAGCAATTAACAAAGAATAATTTGTGTATTAAGTTCACATAAAAACATTAAATCTTGTTATAGTTTTATGTATGTGCGAGATTTTACAGTTACCTTAAATTTAGGTTATCTTTCAAAATTAAAGAATCCATTTGCCCGCGCCCTCTATTGTTTAATAAAGTTAAATTCATACTATTTTTTTTTCATTATGTAATATATAGAAATAGAGAGAAAAATTCTAATTTAATGTACTTAAGTTGCTTTTTAATATAACTCAATAAAATATATAAATTGGAGTGATTTAAAATTTAAATTATATTTCTATTTCACTTCAGGTGCAGCTCGATGAAGAACAGAAAACAGTCGTCTTATAGATATATTTGCACAAGCTCATAGTGTTGGACTTCTTGTGCCGTGTATAATAACAAAAGTTGGACTTAAAAAAAGAACACGGAATTGAATAGTGTTGCCACAAATAGTGTTGTATAAAAAGTGCTCGCCATGTGGAGTTGTTTTAATTAAGTTACATTACGCTTCTCTCGGGCCAAAATACTTTTTTTTTTTGTCTAGACTAGTATAGTGGCTAGAACTTTATTATGTTGCATGCCGCAAGGTACACGTGCGTTTGAGCTCATTGGACTAGAGGAAACGCTTTTATCTGTATTGGAATTGAAATTAAATCTGGAAGTATCCAAAACATCTTCTAAAGCCAGATGTCAGACGACTTCTGATTGGTAGGATCCAATAATGTTGCGATTAACGAGCTGCATTGCAAACAATATACAAAATCCTGCTCTGGGTGGTAAGAATTTTGAATGAAATTCATATTTCACAGTACTTTAACTGTTCCTTGTCGAACTTAATAAATGAACCATCTCGTTATTACAAACTAATGACAAATAGATTCAGACAATCTCTTAACTCATGTGTATTGCGGCAAAAAAAAGGGAACAAATAGTATATGTTTTCAAATATCAGCAGCTCAACTGTGGTTCATTGATTGTCATTCCTCGGTGAGTAAGTTTACTGAATTACAACGCTTAAATCCGGGGTTTGATTCCCCGCAGTGGACACAGCAGATAGCCAAATGTGGCTTTGTTCTAGAAAAACAAACAAAAATCATTGACTATCTGCCAAAGATTTTACAACTGCACAATACAATAGTTAGTTAAACTCTAAAAAAGACGAGAAAAAACAATTTTCATGTGCAACTGAATAGTTTGTGTCTCGTTTGAAATACTTTTACAAAGGTCAAGATCTAAAATCTATGACCTGTGGACAAACATCGCCATGGGAGCGTCTGAAGTGCTACATCCCTTAAAAGCAACATTATTTCACTCGGTAATATATTTGAATATCATGCTAGGAAAGGGTTCACTAGCATGTCCGACTGCCTGCTTTTGTGACGAAGGGTTCCATTATGTTAGCTGTGTTGGAGATGGATCGTGGGTAATACCATCTGACATTCCCAAAACGGTTATTAGACTTGAACTTCGAAACTACATGATTCCATACTTATCTTCTGCAGACCTGACGGGCTTAGTACAGTTACAAGAGCTCATAGTTCAACAAGCTCAGCTACATGTTATTTCCAATGACACTTTTTTAAATCTTAAGACTCTGAAACGTTTGGATTTAAGTCAGAATTTGCTCACTGTCCTGAACAGAGGAACTTTCGATGGTGTATTTGCATTACGCTACTTGGACGTCTCCTCTAACTTTCTTGTCAGTTTTGAAGAAGCCTTTGGAGAATTATCAGCTGTAGAACAGCTCAACTTAAGGGCCAATCAGATTCCACGACTGACAGCTAAGAGCTTAACAGGATTAAGAAAGATTCAATATTTGAATCTAGACTCAAACAATATTTCTCTAATTGAAGTGGGATCCTTTCAATATTTAACAAATTTAGCTCATCTCATTTTGAGCAACAATCCCCTTACTACCTTATGTCGCTTGGATTTTTTTGGCAACAGACTCCAGTATATTGATATATCACATATTGGTATACAGCGTGTGCCTCAAAGCTTAACTCGATTTGTTAGAGACTTAAGACTAGCCAAAAATAACATTACTTACATCCCAGCTGGAGATCTTGAAAGCTACAATTATATTGAGCTTCTTGTTCTAGATGATAACAATATTACAGAAATTGAAAATGATGCTTTGGGGCGGCTGGAATTTCTGAATAGATTATGGTTAAACGGTAATAAACTGAGTTCAGTTCCTGTCAACTTACCACCATCTTTGAGCGCCCTTTACATAGAGGAGAATAGATTGAAAAAAGTATCATCATTTAGTTTTCAAGGGCTAATTAACTTGGAACAGTTATTTCTTCAAAGGAATCAGATTGAAGAGCTAGAAGAATGTGCCTTCTGCGACCTCTTTAATTTAAAAAGTCTGGATCTCCAAGCTAACAAGATAAGAAATCTGACACCTGGTATTTTTGAAAAGCTTAGTCACCTTCAGATCTTGGATCTTTCTCAGAATGAAATTAAACTAATGGAGCCAAGATGTTTTTTTGGATTGAACCATCTCCAAATCCTCCAGGTTTCTCGCATTTCTTCCTTTGTACAATTTGATGAGCTAATGTTTGACACATTGACGAACCTGCACACTTTGGAGCTATACGACAGCGCCCAGTTTTGTAGTCAGGTTCTTAATGCCACCAGAGCCCTCCATGGCCTACGTAATCTCAGAGAACTAAATATTATGCACAATAACCTTATCAACCTTCGTTCTGATTTTCCCTCTTTCTTCCCAAAATTAAAGATTATAAAAATGAGTGGGAATACATGGCATTGCAACCAGTCCATTTTATGGCTTCAAAAATGGATCACTACCTCAACCGTTCAATTTTACCAGAGCTATGACATTCGTTGTGCTTCTCCTCTACATTTTAAATTCAAACCGATAATGCTTCTCAAGAAGGAGGACTTTACAAATACACAGAATATAACTTCTTCAGAAACCAAGACAGATTTTAGGAATTCCAAAGAGAACGGAGACACACCTGGTCTTTCAGTAAAAGGATTCTTATCAATAACAGCAAAACCTGTTGGAAGTTCGATCCCTGTATATGGAACATTTGTGTCGGTTAAGCTGAACAGAAGTCAACCTAATTTGTGGATAAAACAGTTTGAATCAAATCCCTCGAGGAATGAAGAACCACGTGTACGTACCTCAGAAGTATCATCTTATAGTGAAACCGTCACTCCATCCCGTATCTCGAGTGACGTTTCAATAACGCCAATAGTGTCAAATACCAGACTTATCAATCCCATTTACACCAGCAACGATAAGGATAATATAAGCCATATTCAAACAGGAACATCAAATATTACCAGAACAACTGTTGCAAATGGTGAGTTCACAGATTTTCTCGAGGATGTTAAGGTGTCATTTGTAAACAGGAGTAATATTTCAACGCTTCCAATTAACAATAAGACAATGGGTTTTATTGAAGGAAACCACGACACGCAGCAAGAACAATACAAACACCCAACTGTCAATGCCCGTAGAGGAGACGAACTCCGATTCAAAAATACGCCAACCCCTATAGTAATAACGTTTTCATTGGTTGGAGGCTGTTTGCTCGTGTTGGTAGGGTTATTAATATCATTTGTTATATGCCGTCATCACAATTTCTCTTGCAACGCAGGAGAATGTAAAGTCCGAAGAAGTAGCAACATTTCATACAGCCCTCAAAGAGATGAGGTGTCTATACTTACAGTACCAGATGGAACTATGAGAATAAAAACAAACTCCCATTATGAATTGGGAAACAAACTGTATTACTTCATGGAGAGTAATGATGCGTATCCAGATCAGCAGTTCCAAGAACTACTTCCACGGACAATGGAGGAAAATGGGCATTTCCTTAGTTGAAATCCTAATGTACAGTCCGCAGAAATAGAAAAGCCTTTATTTTCCACTCGTTGACTTCCTTTTCACGATCTTTGACAGCGAACTTTCCAGTGCTTTCTGTAGTAATGGATACCTTCTGGAAGCCCAAAGTGTTAGAATGATAAGAAACAGGAGCTAAGGTCGTTCATTTCCCACATGTTTAATGTTTTGTTTGTGATTAATTCTCATAGGTCTTTTCTCAAAGTAGTTTATCACTAGAGCGTAAAGGATATTACCAAACACATATAATCACCAAAACTTGCTTGAACCACCATTTTATTTCTTAAAAAAAAATAGAATTTAAGATTCTGATGTAATGTAAGATATCCATTATATTCATTTAAGAAAATATTACTTAAAACACATTAAACAATATTTCGTCAGCTCTCAACTTCTATTCTGACGTTTGTAAATGTATTAACACAGTGGGAAAAACAAACAGCTTATGTGGCCATGTTTTCCCCAGATAATTATTTTTTTGTAGTCTTGGAAAAGCTCGTTTGTTGCATCTTGTAAATACGACAGAAATAACCATCTTCAGTGTATGCGTTATTTTAAATAATACATCATGTGGGAAATCTTTAACTTGATTCAATTTGACTTTTATCAAAATTATGGCTTGAATCACTGCTGCCAAAATAATATATATTTTTCTAAAAATGAAATTCAAAATAAATACAAATTCAGCTGTTTTCCACATCCACAAGTTTTATCTGCTTTATGAAAAAATTGAAATTTGTTATTTATTTTACAAGGTTTTCTTTGATATAAATTAAACAATGTTTTCAGCTCAAATCACCATTTTATTGTTTTAACAATATTTTCATATAAGCTAAGTAAGTATTGATGAAATTCTTTTTTAAATTCAACTCACGTGTTAAAGCTTAATATACGGTTATAGTTAATTTAAAAGAGCATATTAGTGAGACAAAACAGCAATAAGTCTACGGACTTAAAACGCTAAAATCCGGGGTTCGATTCCTAGCGGTGAACACGGTAGATAATTCAATTTGGCTTTGCTCTAGAAGAAACAAACATTATGAAACTATTGAATAAAATTATAAACATCGTACGGATATCATTTTGAAATCAAGCTGTATTATTGTTCTTCCAAATTTCATTCATATAATTCCCCCAAGTATCTCAGCGATAAGTCTGCGGACTTGGAATGCTACAAATCGGGTTTCGATACACGTGGTGGGCACAGACGGATAGCCATTTGTGTAGCTTTGTGCTTAACAAGAAACAAGCAAGTAAAACATTAATAGAAATCAAGGAAATCACTTAACCATGTTCAGGTTTCTGTTAGCTGAATCTTTTTAATTTTTGAAACCGTGCCTTAGGTTTCCTAAAGTTTGATTCGGAAATCTTTACCTGATACATTTTAACACGGAACTTAAAAATGCATATTAGTTCAACTTCACTATTTCAAATTGACAATTTCGTTGTTTTATAGGACCGGGCGTAGTCTAGTGATTAGCGTACCTGGACTGTGAATCCGAGGAGTCATGGTTTGCGACCCATTGCTATAAAAAACAAACAAAAAATGTGTTCCGCACTTCGAGGCTGTGTGTACGTTATAAGAGTGACGGTCAAATTCTACTATTCGGTCATGCAAGAGCTCGCAATGAATGCTGTTGACTAACTACCCTTCTTATTGCATGTAAGTTCAAAAAAAGGGACAGTAATGCGCAGATAAACCTTGTGTAACTTTGCGAGAAATTGCGAAGTAAACAAAATATAATTTGACGTATTCTTCAACACATTCGTATAGCCTTGTCCCTCTGTAGCTCAGCGGCAAGTCTGAGGGCTTATAGTATTACAAGTTAGGTTTCAATACACGCTGTGGACAAAGCACAGGCAAAGTGTAGCGACAAACAAACGTATAGCCTTTTGACGATGCTTCAGCCCTTCATCGCCAGGTGTTTAGGGCGCTCGACTCGCAATCTGGAGTCGCTGGTTCGAATTCCCGTCCCACCAAACATGCTCGCCCTTTCAGCCGTGGGGGCGTTATAATGTGACGGTCAATCCCACTGTTCGTTGTTAAAAGAGTAGCCCAAGAGTTGGCAGTGGGTGGTGATGACTAGCTGCTTTCCCTCTAGTCTTACACTGCTAAATTAGGGCAGATAGTCCTCGTGTAGCCTTGCGCGAAATTCAAAACAAACAAACAAACAAGCGATGCTTCCTAAAATCTTCAACCTATAGACAAACAAACAAAAACAACACAGATGACAGTTGAATAACAATTTACATACACTCCTAATATTCACTTGTGAATAATAACAGGTTTCCAAATTTTCTGTAGCTTTTAGTCATTCATTCTAATTCAGGGTTTAAATTTGGAGTGGAATAGTCCGGAAAGACGTTTCGCTTCTTGAGGATCTAAGCACTAAGTTCCTGGTATTTTACCCCATTCAACTTCCTTGTACAATTTAACTTGTTTGAATTAAAAGACGGTTGCACTATTCTGTTAAGTTAATGATGTTAATTAGCCAGAATCCTCAGTGGAACATCGGTAAGTTTACGGACTTACAGCGCTAAAATCTGAACACAGCAGGTAGCTCAATGAGGCTTTGCTCTAAAACGAACAAATAAACAATTAGTCAGAATCGTAATTACAATTATATGGAAATAAACGTAAGGGGCCTAATTACATTTATGCGGGGGGGGGTGCACCTTTTGTAGTTACAACACTGCTTTTACCCTAAAATATTTGAATTCAACTCTGAAATAACTGAATTATTTAACTTTTTGTGGTAATATGTGTAAATTAATTATGCACAAGACGGCACTATTTAACATCTGAATACGTTCTCAGGGAGTGTAACTCCCCTGTGGGACGACGTTGTGATCCACACTGCTACTATAATTGGGTTAAAAAAAGTCGTTCCGCCTCTTTCAAAATCACAATTTAACCACTGCATTCTATATATTTTAGCTGTTGGTCTGTACTTCAGCTTTATAACAGCTCTGTAAACCTTTATACTGTCGAGCATCAAGCTAGTATAATTGGCCTGCAATTTGTTTCTGTTGTGAGACCGATAATTTGTATCTTTTTTATGAGAACAAGACTCCAAAACCATCTTGTTGATTCATGCTTGTTATTAATTACAAACTTACTGTTTTCATGTTGAAGTTTTATCCTATAAAACCTATACTACTTCACATTCTTTGAAACACCACAACAACATGGTCTCCGTACAAGGTCCATATCTTCTGTAATATTTTGCGTTATAATAAATTGAAGTCCCCGATTGTGTCTTTTTTTTAATGCAAATTGTTAAAATTGTTGTTCTTGCGGGTTAATTGTGACTTGTTCTTCTACCTTACCTTGTACAAACTCAATTTCTCCAAACTTTCATTGTATAGCTTATTCATTTGCTATTTTAAGGGGTGTAGGATTGCATAATTAAGTGATGTCATAATAGTCTATAAATATTCAATCCAGTCAAATACAATTTTCGAATCTCATTTCTAAGGGGGGGGAGCCTTAATTGGTATCTCATTAGCTATTATACATTATATAACAAATAAAAATAATAACCTAATAATTTTTTAATTTAACTAACTATGAGTAAGGTTATTGCTTATACCATATATATACAGGCCCTTGTGTGGTAGTACAGATTTGTAAACAAATATAAAATATTTTACTCGTTAGTTTCACAACAGCGGCACTTAGAAAAACAAAAGCTAGACTTGGGATTAACCCTTACTAGGGCTTGGCGTGGCCTAGTGGTTAGCGTGCCAGACTGTCCAAAGACCCATAGTTCGCATCCATTCGCCGGGAATAAATATGCTCTCCATACGTTTGGACCGTTGTTGACAGTCAAATACTACTATTCGTTTAGAATAGCCCAAAGGTTGGAGGTTGATGACATTGACTAGCTACCTTCCCCATGGTCTATCAGTTCAAAAGCTAAGGATATCTGACGTTACATTGCTTTAAGTGAAACTCCGAAACAAGAGACACAAATTATAACTATCCCAGTAATAAAGAGGAATTGGTGAGTGTGCTTCTCTATAAACATGCATTTCATATTTGAATTATGGATATTAGTAATTAAGAGATAAGTATTACAGGAAATATTCAAAGACACGAACATTCACTAGGTAAAACAATTAAGGGTTTAAGAAAACACAATTTGGAGTCGTAGTGTGAGATTAGCAGATTAAGCGCTGGTAGAATAATTGATGGAATGGAGAAGATACATGTTCACTAATTTGGATTTGACATTAAATACGTTTAAGTGAATATCTTGTATGTAAACTATTAGTTTCAACCCATCTACAGAAACACTATTACTCTCACTTTAAAACAACAATTTCAAACTCTAGTAATTTGTATCTGGTTAGATTTGTATCCGGTTAGTTGTAATCCCTTAATGTTAACTATTACATAATTACACTTCAGTGAGCTGAACCAAAATGTGGAAATTATAAATTATTCCTAGTTTTCTATCAGTTTAATTCATACATTGCTACTTGTGCAGGCTGTAGCTATTAGCAAGTTCTGAATATTGCTATTAAGTTTTAACACTTTATCATACTTTGATCTCACGTGATATTATACTGTTTTTTTTATCGTGATGACACATTTCCTGATAATACTTTTTAGATATGGAGGACTTTTGTTTGTTTTTATACATCTGAAATGACAAATAATTCAGTGGCAACAATTCTGTTAATACGATGTTTGTAGCTATGTCATTCGATAAAAATTTTCGGTTGTCTGAATACATCTGAAATGACAAAATTATCCAGTGGCAACAATTCTATTAATACGATAGTTTTTAGCTATGTCATTCGATAGAAATTGTCGTTTGTCTGAATACATCTGAAATGACAAAATTATTCAGTGGCAACAATTCTTTTAATACGATGTTTGTAGCTATGTCATTTGATAGAAATTCTCGTTTGTCTGAATTTTCGGAAAATAGTTATACCCAAAACAGAATATGCATGAATGAGCTAATATTGTTTTTTAACAGAAAAATAAAACTAAAATACGTGAGTGAATTTGTTATCAACTTGGAAAATGACAAATACTCTCGTTTTCATTCAAAAAATATCCTGTTCATACTTGCTTTGTCGTGGGCTAATAAGACATATAAAATACTTATTTTCAGAACTTCAAAAATACTTTTGTTTTTACTGAAAAATGTCCTGTTCATACTTGCTTTGTTGTGGGCTAATAAGACATATAAAATACTTATTTTCAGAACTTCAAAAATACTCTTGTTTTTACTGAAAAATGTCCTGTTCATACTTGCTTTGTCGTAGGCTAATAAGACATATAAAAGTGTGTACCATCTTTCTACCACTTCATTTAGCATAGTCACATCTTACTTTGCCAAAAATTAAAACGTTATACAAAATATATAATATGTATTAAGATCTCTCGCTTTACATTTACAGTATATACGTACATCGTGGTTTATCAATTTGCCATCATCCATATTAAATCCAAACCAAGCTTTTACGTAACAGAAATACAAACCTTCCTTCGTTTGACTTTTGCGATCACTGGTTCTCAAACTTTGTCGCCCCCGGATCACTTCCGTGGAGCACAAGACTCCGCGAACCACCTAACGGTACTAACCCATTCGCTTTCGCTTCCCAATGCAAAAAGAAGAAGAAAAAAAAACACTCATCAGAAGCAATTGTAAGAATGGATACTCCTGGTTGAAACTTGTAAATGAAGGTTGATAATTTGGCGTGGAGAGAAATCCGGTGGTAATCAATCCAGGATCACTGGAG